TTGTAATTCAATAATTAAAAGACAACTCATTTTTTAACACAGGCAGTAGAGACAGAGTCCCCAATCCACTCCCCAAATACTTGCAGTGGAGAGAGACAGACTGGACCAAAGCCAGGAACAGGTCTTCCTTGAGGGTGACAAGGAGCCCACTGATCTTAGTGATCACCATTGCCTTCCAGGGTCTGCATTAGCAAGAAGCTGGAGTCAGGAGCCCGAGCTGGGTACCAAACCCAGGCCCCCTACAGCGGAATGCAGGCGTCATCTCTGGCATCTTAATTATCAGGCTAAAAGCTCACCCCCACAGATCAATATCTAAATAGTCAAAGGATCTGAATAGACCTGGGGGTCTTCAAAAACCATGAAAAATGGGAACTATGAAAAAGCTATGCATTTGTTTTTCTGCATAAAAATAAACACATTTATCTTGTTCTAACACACATGAAACAGAGCTAGTTTGTGGCATGAAAGATGACACACTAGTGTGAAAATTGTCCTCCCCACCAGAGCAACTTGAACTGATGGCAAAGCTTGGTTGGAAAGATGCTGACCACCCACCCCCCCCAAAATCAGCAGTTTATAAATAACTTGTTTATTGATCAGTTACTTGTTCTAAAAGGGAACAAGATGGAGGCAGGCATTTGGCACAGTGGTTAAGCTGCCACCTTCCATATCAGAGTGCCTGATTCAAGTTTAGGCTCCTCTATTTATTTCTTTTTTATTATTATTATTTTATATTATGACACAGTTCCATAGGCTCCGGGATTTCCCTTAACCCCTCTCTAAGCCCTCCCTCCATACTGATTTCCTCTATATTACTACAGTAGTATAGTTCATAAACAGTTATAATTCCATCATTGCGGGCATGGACCATTCAGAGAGTCCAGCACCTTACTGTCAAGATAAATTTAACAGTTTCATTGGGAGTCCATCTTTGATCTGAAAGTAGAGACGGCAGAATATCCTCACATTTAGATATGATAGTCAAACAGTTACTATATCTCCCCTTAAATGAAAAGCCACAATACAAAGTCAACAACAGGAAGAAAAATGGAAATTGACAACATCATGAAGCTAACTAACATGCTACTGAATGACTAATGTGTTAGAAAACACAAGTTTTTCACCAAATCCTGTAACTACTTCATTGACATCGCAATTTTAGTTTATACATAACTGACTGCTGTAAACCTTAAGATGGTTGTAGGGTACTATTCAGCTGTCTTGTGGTTGGTTTTTTTTTTTCATATTTATATTTAGCAGCTTATAGTATTCAAGTGAGATTTTACAGAATTTCGTGAATTTTAGGATAATCCAAACAGGCTCATAACTCTGATCAGCCATATATTAACGTTTGAAGGCTCCTATATTTCTGACCCAGCTTCCTGTTAACACACACCCTGGGAGGCAGCAGAGAACAGTGCAAGGACTTGGGTCCCTGCCACCCACATGGGAGACATGGACTGAGTTCAAGGTTCCCGGCTTGACCGTTACAGGCATTTGAGGAGTAAAACACCAGATGGATGCTTTCTTTGTCTTATAAATTAAAAAAATACAATCAATAAAAATCAACAATGTTTTTAGAAAATATTAGAAAAAAATAATAGAAAAATATTTTAGAAAGGTGGAGGTGATGCTGACGATGAAGCCTGCAATGAGCAACCTCATTCTTGCCAGGAAACAATGATCTCGTTCTTGTCCTAAGTGAGGATGACGGACAGTTAACAGCAGCAACAGCCAACACCAGGGACATCTCTGATGGTTCAGCTAGCACAGTCCCAACAAAACGAACTCTCTGCTTGGCAGATGCCCCAACGCTGTGCTCAGACCAGCTGCAGACAAGATAGCAGCTGCCGATACAAAGTTTCCGAAAGGAAGTGGGAAGGAGTTCCTGAAGCATCTGGAACAGCCTTACCAGTGTAGCCCCAAAGACCAAGCAAGACCAAAATAAGGGCTACTGGGAGGCCGAGGATATCCCATCAAGGACAAGGGCAGCCAGTCAAGACCAAGACTGACAGGTGTTTCAGGGGATGTTCAAGCAATGTTTCTTTTAAAAAAAAAAAAAAAAAAAGATAAATTTCTGGCCAAACAAGGATGGCTTCTGCTTACTGAGAAAGTGTTTTGACAAAGTCAGCAGTGGAATATCCAGAAAAGCAGCATGGGAGACTCCCTCCCTACCACGACAACTCCTGCTCCTTCCTCCCATCACGTAAGGGCAATGATGCAAGAGCTGCAGTGGGAAATCACGAGACATCCACTTGCAGCCCCAACTGGCCTCCTTCCACTTCTACTTTCAGATCCTAAAACAGAAAATCATTAAAGCGCACCCCATTTTCTTCTGTGAGTTCATGTAAAAACTACTGATGTGGTAAAATTCCTAGGACCCTTAGAGTGGTTTTCAAGATGGATTTAAAAACAGCTGCTATTTTGCCTAGAAAAAGTAAGTTTAATTTGATGGGGTGAATGCTACAAAACAAAGATTACATGTGTCTCTTTGAATTCTATTTTTCCATGAACCATGTGAGGGTCCCTCCTATTTCTCCAAGGAAGACATTCAAACAAGTGTCCAACGGACAAAAGAAAAGACGCTAGACCATGAGATGTGAGTTGACACCACAGTGGGATGCCGCTCCACACCCGCCAGAAGGCTGTCCTCCAGAACACAGATACTAACTGGGATGAACCAAGACTGTGGACACACTGGGATTTCTGCGCGCTGCAGAACGCTGCAGTCACGCTGGGAAGCAGGCAGTGCTTCCAAGCGTGCCACAGAGGGACAGATGACTTGGCAGTGGGACGCCTAGGTGTACGTGTCCAAGAAATATGAGAGCATGTTTTGTACACGGATGTTCACAGCCGCCTGACTCAGAAGAGCCAAGGATTGAGACAAGCAGTGTCTGCCGAGGGTGCCTACGTGGTCAAAATTTCATTCATCCGGGCCCGGTGCGATGGCGCAGTGGTTAAGGTCCTCGCATTGCATGCCTGGGATCCCATATGGGCACTGGTTCTAATTCTGGCAGCCCTGCTTCCCATCCAGCTCCCTGCCTGTGGCCTGGGAAAGCAGTCGAGGTCGGCCCAAAGCTTTGGGAACCTGCACCCGCGTGGGAGACCCGGAAGAGGCTCCTGGCTTCGGACTGGCTCAGCTCTAGCCGTTGTGGCCACCTGGAGAGTGAATCATCGGACACAAGATCTTCCTCTCTGTCTCTCCTCTCTCTGTATATCCGCCCTTCCGATCAAAAGTAAAATAAATCTTAAAAAAAATCTCATCCATCCAAACAGCAGGACGTGACACGGGGCATGAAGCACCGACACATGTTACCAGGTGGAGGGAAGACCTGCCCGTTTACCAGGCCTCCATTTGAACCAAGCTCCCAGGGCAGGGGCTCCTTGCCTGTCCCATAACCCCTGACCTCCCACCTCTGTTTCCCTGTGAGGTCATCCACCAGAGCCAGGAGAAAGAGTCACATGAGGTCATTGATTAAAAACAGAGACACCGCCTAGCAAAGCTGCTATAAAATGATTTCATATGGGAAATGGGGAGTTTGCTTCTGGCTTGACTTTCATATTCAAAGCAGAGATGCTTTCCTGTATTAAATCTGTCTCCAGCAAGGAAAGCATGTGAGCACTGAGAACCTAGAAAGGAATTCTATCTCTGCCTGTGTCTGAAGCACCCTCCTCCCTCCCGCTTCCACCACTTAGGTTCCTCCATGGGCCTTGCACATCCTCTTCCATTCTCTCAGTTGTTGCTTCAGCAACTATGGACCAGGGTCACTACATTTCACCAGCAGGTGTCGCTGTCTGACCTGCCATCAAGTTCTACACGGCACATGCACTACCTGCCAGGAGGGGGCACACAACCACCCTGATACATAGTGAGGGCAATATTTAAAGGGTGATATTTCCCTTGCAATGAACACGGTAAGGAAAGGAAGCGAACTACACAGAGGGGTGGAGGAGGAAACCTGCCAGGTACCACTTATAGTTAGGTGACTAAGGTAACCTTGCTGGGGTGGGGTGGGATGGGGTGGGGTGGGAGGGGATGGGTGGGGTGGGATGGGGTGGGAGGGGATGGGGTGGGTGGTGGGGTGGGGTGGGGTGGGATGGGATGGAATGGAATGGGATAGGGTGGGGTGGGAAGGGATGGGGTGGGATTTTTGTGAGGTGATGTGACGTGATCTGAGTTTTGTGATGTAATGTGATTTCTGTGATGTAATGTAATTTTTGTGATATGATATGAACAACACCTAAGCACTGTGGTTTTCCCCCCTGAACAGATGACCTCAGTCAAACCACTAGGAGATAACAGACACCATCGATGTCTGTATTCTATAAAATCTCTTTGATACATACTCCTCAAAACCACTAAGGTCATCAAAAAAAAACAAAAGAAAAGGTATGTGTGTGGTGTGGGCAGAGACTAGGGTAGACGTGTGGCCTGTGGTGAAGTCACTGCGTGTCAGAGGCCTGGGTTCCACTCTCAGCTCCACTCCTGACACCATCTTCCTGCCAGTGTGCACCCTGGGAGGCAGCAGGTGAGAGTGAAAGGGACCGTGTGCTAGTCTATTAATCCCAGAGTCTGTCACGTGTCAACAGAGCCCAGCTGCTTGCTGCCCGATGCAGCTAGGCAGACCTCAAGCTTGGGGGCTGACGAAGAAGGGGGAAGAGAGCTCCAGGAGGACTCGCTTCGGACTTACTGTCTCTCAAGAGGCACAATAAGAATCAGAGAACTCCCCATCCCATGCAAATGACCATAATAAAAGTAAAAGCTATCTACCCAGCCTCACCCCAAAAACTGACAATTGTGTAGTCAAGCAAACACCAAAACCCCAAAGGTGAGGGACCACTGTGTTTGTTTAAACGTGCGTCCTATACATGTGATGGGCAAACCTGGCATAAAACACGTGGCTGGCTGCATCTGTTATTTCAGGGGCTGGGGTGGGGTGAGCATCTTCGAGGACAGCACGGGCCAAGCAGGCAAAGGGACGGTAACGCTCACTACCTACGGGAATGAGATGCGTGGGCTGGGATTCTTCGAGTTTGCTTCTTAACCAGTCAAAATCCTGGTATCTGCGACGGACGGAATATTCCGGCAGGTCAAACTCCACCCGAGTACTCTGCAAAAAAGAATACGGGAAGAAAAAAAGAAGCAGCATAAGGTTACAGTAGCAGGCGTTGACTGAAGGGAAGGGAAAATCCCTCTCAGAGTAAATAACTGGGCAAGGATGCACTTCCCTCAGCCGGGTGCACCTGCCAGATGGCAGAGTCCCGACACATGTGAGGCAGAGCCTGCCTTCTCTGGGCCCGTGAAGACTCCAAGGCAGGGGAAAGCCAGAGTTCTCCCCGCACCCCTCAGCAAATGGAATCCAGCAATCCAGTTATATAACCACATTTGATTCATTTCCTCCAAGCCCCACTCAGACGTGCTTCTAGCGGAGTAATTCCTCTTCGGATATTGCTGCCGAAGCTGAACCCGTGTCTCCACCTTCCACCAAAAACGCTGACAAACTCTACCAAAGGCAGTGGGGCCATGGACAAACTTGGAGACTGCCTGCGGCCTGTGGAGGGGCAGGTTAGATCAAGGAGAAGCCTTGCACCATCTGCCCTGTCCTGCCACAGCCGTAACCCTGGAACTATGCTGTATTTCAGATGTACAAGAACAACAAAGCTAGAAGGAAACACCAAAAGCCAGTGGGCCACACACATACACAAAAGTGAATCACCTTATCCCCTACCCTGCATTTTCTGTAATGTGGTTACAGCACTTTGATGAAAACCAACGTTAAGATTCTGCTGATTCACATCAAAATTATATTTTTACTCATTAAATTGCTGAAATGAAATCATGTCTCAGATTAACCCATTTTCTCCTGTGAGACAACTGCTGATCAGAAAAAGTTCAATGGACAGTAGCAAAAATATCTTAATAATACATGGACGAGGCTCATTCATCAAAGAAGCAGTCAACAGTTTTGACCTTGTGACAGTTTCAGGAATGGTCAATCAGCCTGGTGTTTACGCTCTGTAGGTCCCACACTGGAGTGCAGGGTTTGATCCCTGACTCCAACAACGTTGCAGCGAGGACCCTGGGAGGCAGGCCCATGCCCACCCCTGCCACGAGATGCCACCAACCCTCAACAAGCCTTGGCTTCTTCCATGAGGATAGTGGTCAAGGTCATTCTTCCAGATGTTCCCCAGCACCCCGCCCCCCAGCAGGCTCCACAGGACACTTGGCAGGTGACTGACTGCGGGCCCAGGAGAGGCCATCTCGCCCGCCTGGTGATGAATGAAGCTTCTCGCTGCAGACAGAGCTGGCAGACAGCTGTGCTTCCTGGCCTTCCGCCACACCTGTCAATTTCCCTTCATTATGTCTCTCACAGCCATTTCACAAAGTATACAGTTCACATGATCATTCTATTTGAACTTGAAATCAGTATTTGGTAGCTACAGAAAGACTTGATAAAACACACCTTTTGTTTTTGTCACAATCAACTTCGTTTTGGGGGGAACTAGCTTCCACCCCTCTTCTATTTATTCAAAGAATGTATTTCTTTTAAAACTTCAGGATACATAAATAAATTTTTAGGACAACAGTCATAGTGTTCTAAATTGAGAAAAAATACAATATAGTTTATATTCTTGCACATTTTTAATGCATATTCATTCATTCACTTCTTCTAAATCATTTTTTAAAAGGTTTATTTATTTTTATTGCAAAGGTGGATATACAGAGAGGAAGATCTTCCATCCGATGACTCACTCCCTAAGCGGCTGCAATGGCTGGATCTGAACCAATCTGAAGCCAGGAGTCAGGAGCTTCCTCCGGGTCTCCCACATAGGAGCAGGCTCCCAAAGCTTTGGGTCGTCCTCGGCTGCATTCCCAGGCCACAAGCAGGGAGCTGGATGGGAAGTGGGGCTGCCAGGATTAGAACCATATGGGATCCCTGCACATTCAAGGTGAGGACATTAACCACTACACTATCGCACCAGGCCCTCTTGATCAATTTTATTGATTAGTATTATTTGAAAAAAAGACAAAGAGGCACACAGAGATTTCCAGCTACTGGTTTACTCCCCAGATGCCCTCAACATCCAGGGCTGGGCCAAGGTGAAGACATGAGTTAGGAACTCTGCCCAGCACCCCGCCCTGTCCCCGTGGGTGGCATAACCCCAACTACCTGAGCCATCTGGGAGCCTGCTGCCTGCCAGGGTGTGCGTTAGTAGGATGCTGCAATCAGAAGCAGAGCTGGAACTCAAACAGGTGCACACTAACAGGTTGTAGGAGTCCCAGGTAGTGGCCCACCCACTGGGTTTACCAGCTGTACCCCCTGCACCTCCTCATTTTCTATATATCTTTAATGCATCTTGAACATCTTTGCCAGTAATTCAAATTTATGACATTATTATTAATATGTTAGATATATATTGGCATATAGCATATTTTCTTATTATTCCAGTGGACAGACCATAGTTAAACCAAATCCCCCAGGTAATTTTTTTAATCCATCAACAATGCAACAGTAAATATAGAGGACTCCTATCTGCTAATACCCTTACAATCAATTCCTAAAGATAAAACTGTTGGGGCCTGGCTAAATCCTCGCCTCTAAGTGCCAGGACTCCATATGGGTGCCAGTTCACATCCCAGTTCCTCCACTTCCCATCCAATTCCCTGCTTATGGTCTGGGAAGTAGAGAACGGCCCAAAGTTGGGACCCTGCACCCACGTGGGAGACCCGGAGGAGACTGCTGTCTCTTTGGATCAGCTCAGCTCTGGCTACTGTGGCCACCTGGGGAGTAAAGCAGCAGATGAAAGATTTTTCTCTCTTTATCTCCTTCTCTCTGTAAATCTGACTTTCCAATAAAAATAAATAAATATTTTTTTAAAAAACCATTGTATTAAAGGGGTGTAAATAGCTTAAATTTACAAGTTGCTCCCAGAAACACAGCAATTTACATAGTCGTGTTAAATATTCTCAAGGAATTAGCTGTCTTTAATCTGAAAAATGCCAAATCACCTCCCTTTTACTTTGTAACTTTTACTAGCTGCTGGGGTTAAACACCCTTCCACGCATTTGTAGGCCATATATTTCCCTTGCATCAAGAGCCTTGTTCAGATCCTGACCCAAGTCCTTTCCTTTGTGAACTCTATTGCTGTTTCCCTAGAATAATTTCCAAGTGGTTTTACACACCTAAAATTTCTTCTTAATTACTTGGTCAAATTTCATCCGTTCTTTCCCCTAACAGTTACTACTACTGCAAGTTTATTAAAGTATCCACCTTGACACTTTTTATGGCTTTCTATCTTTTATCATTCATTCTGTTTGTAGGAAACTAACCACTGGAAAATAACTTTTGAGGATATGTGTGCAACAATCTCCATTACAATATTATTCTAAATGACAGAGCAACTGAAGCAGCCTAAATGTCAGCCATTTAAAAACCATCAAGGAAACGATGGGACATTTATTCCAGGGGAACTGTTCTCTTCAAGCTTTCCTTCTGTTCTAAATTTCATATCATTCTCAAAACAATATTCTTATAGGAACCTACAAAAAATACTCATTTTTTAAAAAGATTTATTTATTAATGAGTTACAGAGAGGGAGTTACAGAGAGGGAGGTGTGGGGGAGGAGGAGTGCGGGGAGGGGGAGGTCTTCCATCTGCTTGTTCACTCCCCAGATAGCTGCAATGGCCAGCACTGGTCCAGGAGGATGCCAGGAGCTTCATCCTGATTTTCTACATGGGTGGCAAGGGCCTGAATACCTGGCTCGTCTTCCACTGCTTTTCTCAGGCCATTGTCAGGCCTTTTCTCAGGATTGTTGTGTTCATTTCTCCAAGGGTCAGAACTGGGCTGCTCCTGGGGCCCAGGAGCTTTTTCTGAGTGCTTCGTGTGCAAGGACCCAAGCTGTGGGCTGGATCAGAGATAGAGCAGCAGGACTTGAATCAGCATATAGGATGCCACTGCTACAGGCACATTAACCTGCTATGTCACTGTACTGGCCCCAGAAAATTCTTGGTTTACATTAGTTCTCAGCCCTAGCTCACTTTAATTTAGACAAAGCGAGGTCTTCACTTTATCCTGCTATAGCCATCAAGAATATGAACTAGAACTTGGGAATGAAAGCTTCAACGGAATGAAGCAGGCAGCTGGACAGCCCCGACCTCTGTCCCTAACTGCTGTCAGACCTCAGCAGGTGCCTGGACCAGATGATGAGATTCTGTGGCCTGTGGGCCCTCTGCCATCCCTGCACACGTCTACCTTCCCCATCACCCAACTTGCAGAGGAAGGTTCTGAACGCACAGCCGGAATATTAACCTGCGGCCAACAGTCAAACAGGGAGAGAAGACTGACCCGGCCTGGAATCACAAGCGCAAGGGCCGGAAAGACATGAAATTTGGTTCTGCCACAAGTTCAAGCTAGCTAGGTGAATGATGGGACTGGAACCTGAAAAGAACTAACTGAGACATTTCAGATAACCCCAGGAGAAGGGAGAGAAACAAGAACGCAGCGGGGGAAAGGCAGGAAAGGGAGGGAAGAGCAGACAGTGAGGACAATTTAGCAAGTAGCAGCCAGAGCACTGGCCCACAAAACTGTCACCCAACACCCTGCAGGACTTGTGTGGGAGCACGTCCCAGAAGAGGGGTGGCAGCAAAGTGCAGGGCAAAGGGATCAAGCAAGACTTGGAAAACATCAAGGTGAGGGAGCAAGCCGTGCCAGCCACTCACCTTGCCAGCTGGCTGTTCACAGTGCCAGTTCCAGAAAAACAGGTTTTTCATTTAACAGACAACAGGGTTAATATTAATTTAAAAAAAAAAGTTCAGCCCAAAAAGAAAAAGTGAAATAATTCCTGGAAAAACGTATATCAGCCTAGGACCCTAAGGAAATAATACATAGGTAAGCAGCTAGACCAATGCCTGGGAAAGTGTAGGCACCCAGGGGTGGTAATACCAGGGACAGACTGTGTGCGTTCACATGGCAGGTGCACAGACAAGCCTTCACATGTAAGCCAGGTGCACACAAGACAGAGCAGTAGTGCTGAAAAACTATGGTGCCTGCACTATAGCAGAGCAGGTTAAGCCACTGCCTGTAGTGTCAACAGCCCATATGGGTGCCAGTTTGAGTTTTAGCTGCTCCATTTCAGATTCCACTCCCTGTTAACACACCTGGAAAAGCAACAGAGGCTGGCCCAAGGCCCTGGGCCCTTGTACCCAGCTGGGTGACATGGAAGAGGCCCCTGGCTTCAACCTAATTTACTTTGGGAAGTAAACCATCAATGGAAAATCTCTCCCTCTCCCAGCCCCTTCTCTTTAATGCTGTCCTTAAAATAAATTAATCAGTTAAAAAGAAAAAGAAAGAAAATGAGAAGCTACACCCACACAAATATACAAATGTCTGCAAAAAAAAACTGCAAATGCAAAAGTCAGAGAACAGGGGCTGGCACAGCATGTTAATCCTCTGCCCGGGACACCAGCATCCAATAACGAGGGTAGTTCAAGTCCCAGTTACTTCACTTCCAATCCAGCTTTTTGCTTATAGACTGGGAAAACAGCAAGACATGGCTCAGCTCCTTGGACTCTGGCATCCACACGAGTGGCCAGGAAGAAGCTCCAGGTTGCTGGCTTCTCACTGACCCAGATCTGACTGTTGCGGTCATTTGGGAAGGGAACCAGTACATGGAAGAGCTCCTTCTCTCTATCTCTTCTTCTCTCTGTAATTCTGCCTTTCAAATAAAAGCAAACAAAACAATTAATACCAAAATCTAAATTATATATATTCTAACTGTGTGTGTGTATGTGTGTGCATGCACACTTGAAAAGATTGAGAGAACTGAGGATAAATGATAACAATGGCTGCTTGTAGCAAGAAGAGTTTGGTGAGAAGGGCTAAGGAAGACAGCTCAGAAATCTGCTCTATATTTGGGATTTAATGTTATTGGTTTTATAGCAACATATTTCCATTACCTGTATTATTGTGTTTTACAGCCAGCTTAGAATTTTATGATTTGCTTAATTTGAAAGACAGGGCCCAGCACCATGGCTCAGTGGCTAAATGATCTTGCATGCACCAGGATCCCATTTGGGCACTGGTTCATGTCTCAGCTGCTCCACTTCCCATCCAACTCCCTGTTGTGGCCTTGTGGCCTGGGAAAGCAGTAGAGGATGAGACTTAGGACTCAGCACCCATATGGGAGATCTGGAAAAAGCTCCTGGTTCCTGGCTTTGGATTGACTTAGTTCTGGCTATTGCAGCCAATTAGGGTTAGGGTTACCACCAGATGGAAAAATCTTTCTCTCTGTACCGTCTTCTCTGTGTTAATCTGCCTTTCCAATAAAAATGAATGGAAAGAAGGAAGAGAGGGAAGGAGGGAGGGAGGAAGGAAGGAAAGATATAAGGAAGGAAGGAAGGAAGGAAGCCAGGAACTCAATGTAGGTCCCCCATGTTGGTGGCATGCATTCACCTACTCAAGTAAGAACCTGCTGCCTCCCAGGAAGTGCATCGGCAGAAGCTCAAATGAGAAGCAGAGCCAATGATCAAACTCACACATTCTAATGTGGGATGCAAGTGTCCAAAGTAGTGTCTTAAGCACTAGGCAAAACTGCTGCCCCCACATGTGTATACTTTCCAAAATATAACATGTTCAACCAAGAAATGATGAAGAAAAGAATATTTGAGTGCATTTTACTCTTTACTTCCCAAAGATTTTTTTAAATGTTTATTTCCACCTACTTAAAAAGGCAGATCAACAGAGAGAGGAGAGTAAGAGACCCTCCATGTGCAGGTTCACTCCAAATGCCCACACCAGCCAAAGCTGCATCAGACTGATTCAGGAGTCTGGAACTCCACCTGGGCTCCCACATGAGCAGCAGGAGCCCAAGCACTTAAACCATCTTCTGCTGCCACCCAGGGTGGATTACCCGGAAGTTGGATCAGAAGCAGAGCAGCCAGACTCAACATTGGCACTCTGATATGGCATGGGAACATCCCAACCAATGGCATAATACACTGTGCCACAACACCTGCCCCTTCAATTTACATGAAAACAGAGCATCTAAATGAGAACTTCAATGAGAGCATAACCTACTGAACTTTCATGATTAAAAAAAAAAAAACTCTTTGCTTAAAAATGAAAACAAGAAAAGGATCTCTTAACATCATCCACTGAAGGCACCTTAACCTGCTAAAACTGCTGGAATCATCTGGAATTCCCCAAGGTTTGTAGTGGGAGAATTTCCCAGAGACAGAATGGTTTCATGACTAAAGGGCTTATTAAAATTCAGAAACATGAGCACTGAGCTTTCCCTGTACTGATACTGAGCATCTAGCCCAGAGACACATTTGTTCCCCAGATACTATCCAAAGTGTCTGCCAACAGCTTTGGTTGTCACCACCAGGGCTTGGAGTGGTAAGACCGGCACGGGGTGGGTAAAAGCCAGACGCTGCTCAGCATCCCAGACAACCCACAGCCAAGGGTTATTCAGTCCAAAATATCAATACTGCCAAGGTCAAGAAATCCTGCTCCAAGCCCACGATTTTAGTACTACTTGAAACAGTCAACCTGTAATTTGCAAATAAGGGGCAGGTGCTCGTTAGGATGCCCACAACCCACATCGCGACGGATTCAACACCCAGCTTCCAATTCCAGCTTTCTGATGATGCCCAGCGGGGGAGGGGGAAATGGCTCAAGTTTTTGGGCTCATGCCACTGACGCAGGAGATCTGGACAGAGTTCCTGGCTCCTGACTCTAGCCCAGCTGGCAGATGCCCACTATGGGCATTTGGGGAATAAAACAGTAGATGAGAGCTTGCTATTCTGTTTCTACTTTTTAAAAAAAAACATATATTTATTTGGGCCCAGCACAGTGGTCTAGAGGCTAAGGTCCTCACTTTACATGCGCCAGGATCCCATACGGGCACTGGTTCTAATCCTGGCAGCCCCACTTCCCATCCAGCTCCCTGCTTGTGACCTGGGAAAGCAGTTGAGGATGGACCAAGGTTTTGGGACCCTGCACCCACGAGGGAGACCCAGAAGAGAATCTGGGCTCCTTGCTTCGGATCAGCGCAGCACCGACCACTGCGGTCACTTGGGGAGTGAATCATCAGACAGAGGATCTTCTTCTCTGTCTCTCCTCCTCCACGTATATCTGACATTGTAATAAAAATAAATAAATCTTTTTTTTAAAAAAATCTATTTATTTGAAAAGCTGATTTATCGAGAGAGAAGAGACAGAGATGTATCTTCTAAACAAAGGTTCACTCCCCAAATGTCCACAAAGATTGGGACTGGGCCAGACCAGCACCAGGAGCCAGGAGTCTCATTCTGGTTCTCCCATGTGAACGGCATGGGCCTGAGAGCCTTATCCATCTCCTGCTGTTTTTCCAAGTATATTAGCAGGAACTGGATTGGAAGATGAGCAGCCCCGACTCAAATCAGCATCCATGTGGATGTCAACACATGGACATCCACCTGCTGTACATCTGCTTACCCCTCTATATGCTTCTGATCCAGCTCCCTGGTAATGTACCTGTGAAAGCAATAGAAGATGGTTCAAGTAGTGACTGGATCCCTGCCATTAACGTGGAAGACCTGGAAGAAGTTTCAGACTCCTGGATTAGGCCTGGCCTGGCCTCTGCTCTGGCAGCCATTTGGAGAGTGAAGCAGTAGATGGAAGGTCAAACTCACTCTTTCCCTCTCTCTATCACTCTGTCTTTCAAATAAATAAATTTTAAAAAAAACACATGTAATTCTTTTAATTTGAATGTTTCTACTTTCTATTAAGGTTGAAGAAGGGGAGGAAGAAACAATGGCAGAAGGCTTAGACACAGGAGCCCAAATACCCACAAACCATTCAGCACGTCAAGTCAAGGAGGGACCTACTTTGGTGGTGATCCTATACGTGATGTAGGTCTCCATCGTGCAGACATGCTTCTTGGGGTCATCGACCGTGACAAAGAGGTCTCTGGTCTCGCCGTCCATGTCATCATCCAGCTGAAGTCTGTTGAGCAGGGAAGATGAAGATGCCGGGCTGGAAGTGCCTGCTGGAGTCCCACCGTTGGGCAAAATGAGATCCTAAAAGAAGAAACAAGTCACCTTACAAACTCAATGGGAACACACAGTGGGAGAACATCAGCAAAAGCAGCTGGTGGAGGCAAACTAAGAAACACTCCCAAAAAACCAGAGTAACTTTCAGAACAGTCAGGCCTCTCCAGGTATTTTACAACTAAGAGAAACAAATGACATCCACATTCAAGACCAAGTTCAGAAGCCCATTCATCTCCCAGGAGGTGCTGCAGACACCGACCCAATGAGAGGTTGCAAGAACAAAGACCCTCACAGTCCCTTCTTCCTCAGATTGCTGCAGAGAAAGAACCAGGCAGAGGCGGGGTAGAGGGCACACCCTATATTTCATCTTAAGACCATTGCCCAGGCACAGGGAAACATGAAAGAGGCCTGAGCTTTTCTAAAAGACTTCACATATATTAAAACTCAACCAAACTGACCCAAGAGGACAGCTAAAACATCCGTGCAAGCTGAAGGGAGTGTTTGAGGTATAGAAAAAGGTTACCAGGGACCTCCACAGAACAAGATACTGTGTATGTATGTCAACAAGAGTGGGCACCTGTAAGGGAATGAACAGTGAGGCCCAAAAGCTCTACCAGGTCTAACCTTACACATGCATATGCAATCTGCCACCACTACCACTGCACATGACAGCAAGGTCTGGGGACTGGCACGGCAGAAGTTTGTCAGGTTCATCTGACTAGGTAGCTACATTTTCTAGTAATCACAAGGGCCAGAGCAGGGGGCTGGAAGGATTTGGCAGCCACTGCTGCATGTGAGAACCAGGACTGGGAGTGGGCTTAGCTAAGTCTCAGTATTCTGGATGATCAAGTAGAGGTTCACGGGGTCACCCACAAATGCGCTTGAGAACCAGGACTGGGGCAGGCCAGGTTAGATGACTGTACCTGGCCCACTGGCACTCACAGGAACCAGGGTTGGGATTCTGGAAAGGCCTACCCGACCATGCTGATATACCTACAGACAGGGCAGGTGGCCATCCAAACCATGCTGCAGCAGCCACCAAGAAACACAAGCACTGGAGCAAGGGGTAGACCAGTATGCCAGATATGGTGACCTGGTTGGGAGGGGATCCCCTGAATCACATACGCATCTTAGTTCAACAGGATCCCCAATCTTCTGTTATTGGAAAATCACATATACAGAAGAGGAGAGACAAGAAAGATCTTCTGTCCCTTGGTTTACTCCCCAAGTAGCTGTAACAACTGGAACTAAGCTGATCCAAAGCTAGGAGCCAGCAGCTTCTTCTGGGTTTCCCACATGGGTACAGTGTACCAAGGCTTTACATCATCCTCTTCTGCTTTCCCAGGCCACAAGCTGGCAGCTGGATGGGAAATGGGGCCACTAGGACACGAACTGGCACCCATACGAGATCCCAGCACATGCAAGGCGAGGACTTTAGCCACTAGGCTACCATGCCGGACCCCAGGGTCCCCAATCTTAAAAAACATCCCACGGATGTGTGGTTCAACTGTGTGGTATATATATGTTGTGGACCAGGCTACCCGTTGCTGGCTCAGAGAAAGGATGAATACACCCAGATGAACACAAAAGACAAGGCAGCCAGATCTTCCAATCCAATGGAAGACTTCAAGTCCCTCTTCAATGGATGGAAAGAAAAGCCAAGCAGATAGAAGGAGAGATACAGAGAAAAACCTTTCACCCATTGGTTCACTCCCCAATCGGCCAAGCTGAGTTGATCTGAAGCCAGGAACTTCTTCCAGCTCTCCCACATGGGTGCAGGAACCTAAGGACTTAGGCCATCTTCCATTGCTTTCCCAGGCCATAAGCAGAGAGCACCCACGTGGGAGACCCAGAAGAGGCTCCTGGCTTCGGATTGGCATAGTATCGGCCATTGCGCTCACTTGGGGAGTGAATCATCGGACGGAAGATCTTCCTCTCTGTATATCCGCCTTTCCAATAAAAAAAAAAAAATAAAAATAAATCTTAAAAAAAAAGGTTCATGGGGGAATGGAAATAAAGATAAGCTTATTTCAGTGCAACTTTTTTTAATTTAAAAGAAAAAAACAGAGTTCTCAACAAAAGGAGTGCCTATTTGTGTAAGGAAACTTGGGGTGTCTACTATCCAATTGCATTACAGTGTAAAGAGAAACAGATGTAGGGAGCTTTGAGTCTTGGTGAATTGAACATTGATATTAAAGAGTGATTGGGAAGATAATGGAAGCTTTATGGTTGGTTTTACAAAAGCTTCATCTGTAAGAAACACATACTGAGATGCTTATGGATGAAACGATGCCTGTCATTTACTTTAAAACAATTAAGGATAGGTAGGTGGGACATAGCCAACACAAACTGCCCAAGACCTGGCTGACTGCTGAAGGTGATGCTAGAAGGTTCGTTATACAATCTTTTCCTGTTTGGTATACAATTAAAATATTTCATGATAAAAAAAAAAAAAAGAGGACAGGGCCAGACATTCAGAATCCTCATGAGCAAGAAGGTTTGACTAGTGAACTTGAACTCTTCAGGCCAAGCTTACTTTGTGCTCCCACTTTAAAATAAAAAGTTAATAGAAAGCAGAGAAAATGAAAAACTGAATATAGAAAAAGCAAAATTCACTTTAAAAATTAATTCTTCTTCTGAAAGACAAATTACAGCATTTTGGTTCAGTGGGTTAAGTTGCTGATTGTACATCAGAGTAATACTGGTGGTTTGTGTCTGGACACTTCTGTTTCTGCCCCAACTTGTTGCTGACACACCCTGGGACACAGCAGCTCCTGCCACGTGGGAGACCTGTATGGAGTTCCAGGCTTCTGGCTTCAGCCCTTCAACCCAGCCCAGACTCACCTGCTGCAGATATTTGTGGGTGAGCAAGCAGATGGAAAAGATCTCCATCTCTCCATGTCTCTCTCTGTCTCCCTCTTATTTCCCTTTCTGTCTGCTTTTCAAGTAGATGAAAACAAGAAGAAAAAAAAAAAAAAAAAAGAAAAAAAAAAACACCCAAAAAATGAATTAAACTAAAATCTCAGCAGCTCAAGAAAGAGGAAAAAGACTCAGAGTAACTATAAGTTTTGACTATGACTACAAACAAGGCTATCCTATGAACAAAGTACACATCAGAAACCAACGTGAGCTAGAGTGCTTTCTAGGAAAACAAACAAACAAAATATGTGACCAAAGGGAGGTTCATTAGAGGCCAGGAGCCTGAACAGATAAATAAGCACAGAGCTGTAATCCTAGAACATCCACTGAAAGGCGGGCCAAGCCCCAACGGTTTCTCTGCTGAACTCGAAGCAATCTTCAAGGCACTAACTCCTTCTTCAAATATTCCAAGACACATAATTTAAAATATGGAGAACCCTTTCAGGTCATTTTATGAATGTTACATCTGCAATATCAGAAAAGGAGAGCAGAGGTGAGTGTGAGCATCCTTAGTAGGGTAACAGTGAGTGGGAGATTAATGCAAAAGAGAAGGTGCCAGATTCAAGTCAAATGTATTTCAGGAAAAGCACAAATGGCCTAACACTAGGAAACACGACAATGCACTTTATTACATTATCTGATTGTGTGTAAATGACTGAAATCACACCCCTAACTATCAAAATGCTTGCTGTTATCATTCATCCATAAGTAACAGCCATTCTAGAAAAATCTGTAAGAGGGAAGTTTCTGACACATATGTGTTAAGGAGCGCCCATCAGCAGGCTTCCACATGGGCCTGCAGAGTGTTACTCAAGGCGGCAGACACCAGATGCAAGAGGCCACAAGGTCTATGATTTCACTCAGACGAAATGTCAAAACAGGCAACTCCTTAGGGGAAAAGGCTGACTTTGGATTGCCAGGAGCTGAAAGAACTGGGGAGGGGGATATGGGGGTGGGTGGGGGGCTGGCTTAATGAGGAGAGCAGTTGGTTTTAGGAGGAGTATCATTCAACTGTACACAATGGAGGGCAGATTTCGTGGGAGGTGAATCACAACTCAATAGACTAAAACGCTGGAGGAGTATCTGCCATGTTTGGAAACAAGTTTCTGATGTCACAGACTGACCATTATTCAGAGCCATTCCAGAAATTGTAACACACAAGGAGGTACAGAAGACCACTTGAAAATCTGCCTAGGAGCCACCACAATGCTTCATGGCAATAGGTCAAGCTTTCACCAAAAGCATCTTGAACATATTCAGGAGAAAAGTGTCTTTAGAGCATTTTTTTTTTAAAGATTTTTTTGTTGTTGCTGTCATTTTAAATCCAGATGTAGAGAGAAGGAGAGACAGAGAGGAAGATGTTCTGTCTGCTGATTCACTCCCCAAGTGACCGCAATGGTGTGAAGCCAGGAGCCAGGAGCTTCCTCTGTGTCTCCCAAGGCTTTAGGTTGTCCTCCACTGCTTTCCCAGGCCACAAGCAGCAAGCTGGATGGGAAGTGAGACCATTGGGATTAGAACTGGCACCCATATGGGATCCCACATCGTCTGCAAGGTAAGAACTTTCGCCACTAGGCTACGCACCAGGTCCTCTTTAAAACATTTTAAGATAACAAATGTGAACTGATGTACTTACTAAGATTTGGGGGAAAAGTTGGGCACAGGTTTGTGGCAGTTTGAATTATCCTTCACACTCATTATTTTTTAAAGATTGGTTTTACTTGAAAGTCAGAATTCATTTTACTTGAAAATCAGAGTGACAGAGAGGGAGAGATAGAGAAATCTTCTATCCACTGGTTCACTCCCCAAATGGCCGCAATGGCCAGAGCTGGGCTTGCCCAAAGCCAGGATCTGAAAGCTTCTTCCGGGTCTTCCAGGTGGGTGCAGGAGCCCCTGGCCTTGAGTCATCCTCCACTGCTTTCCCAGGTCATGAGCAGAGATGCCTGCACCAGAGGCAGAGGCCTAGCCTGACACATCACCTTGCCTCTTCCTTCATAATCATTAACTCCCATCCTCCAGGAGGCTCACAAGTTCTCACCACTGCCAAAGGTCATCACACAGCAGGGGCACATCCCCAACCCTCTGTCTCTGAGCAAGGCCACATGACCTAC